ATGTGAATAAACAGGCTAGTACTGTCTTACCAGTGATTATATTCACAGAAAACATCAGTATTTAATGTCCAGTAAACGTATTTTAACTGCGCCGTCAGTTCAAAACCGAATATATTAATTATTGTCGGTCTGTATGACGTCACGTCACGTTCGAATCCAGAGGTTCGGTTCGAATGATTCAGTGTGAGCGTCACTGAGTCTCTCAGCACGATTTAAACACAGATATTATATTATTATACAAATATTAAACATCACACAACTATTATACTATATTAATATTAAAAACAGGACTAAGAAATATGAGCGGCTAACCTTCTGAACAGATGATTTGTAGCAGTGGTGAAGTAAATCACTACGACGAAAATGAGGGATGTTTGTATCTCAGGTAGATAGTTCTCGCCAGTAATGAGCGGCGTGGTCTAATTGTGACGTCACAATACAGACCGATTCTGGGGGCTGAATTTTATATGCGCACACACACACACACACACACACACACACACACACAGATATCAACACACACACACACACACACACACACACACACACACACACACACACAATACTACTACTACTACTTATAATAGTAATAATAATAATAATAATAATAATGATGATAATAATAATAATAATAATAATAATAATAATAATAATAATTTTGAATGCATTTAAATATTGTATTTTTTAACTAGTTAAAATGAAAAAATTTCTCATCAGTATTACAGAAAAACTGATCAGAACAGAACTGTCAGTGTTTCTCAGTCACACAGTTTAGTGTTTCTCTGCTTCCAGTACACTGATTCAACTCATCAGCTCATTAAAAAGCCCTTCATGAGCTTAAAGTGGTCGTGATGAAGCCCCCAAATAGAAATCTGGTATATGGCAATATATGGAGTTCAAATATGTTTCCAACTTAGATTTTGTTATATATGGTTTTCAAATACGGGACATATATTTCGGTCATATATTAACATATGAAACGAATATGTACAACATATGTATTTAAAACTATGTGATAAAAAACATTATTCATAAATGGATGGAATATATTACTGTGTCATTATATATGTTAGCTTCATGTTATTCATGTTTTTTTTTGTTGTTGTTTGCTTTAAACAAAAAATATTTCGGTGTATCAGACATTTTTCAGACATGTCGTATATATATGATCCACATTTTATGCATGTATGTGTTTCACCCACCTGTCCAATATTTGACACTTACATATAGCTACACTACATATATGTACATATATTTGGAAATATATGCCTGAGCCTTTATGATATATGTGCATATATGACCGTATATCAGTTTTCCATGTGGGACAACCTGCAGGTCAGAGTGAATCTCTGGTTGAAGTGATTGTCTTGGCCTACACCGCCATCTGCTGGCCTAAAGAGTGAGGGCGTTATTTAAGAACTTGGTTAAGCGCTGTTCATGCAGTGTAGATCATTCTGAAAGCTGTTCTGTTGATACAGTCCTCACTCGATCACACTGATCACATTAGCTACTGACCTCACTGTGTCATCCTCTGTGACTGAGGTGGTTGGGCTTTCTTTGTTCTCAGGAGAGGCTGAGAGACTGTAGGTTCTAACACTGAGACTCAAATACAGGAGAAATATGAAGCTGTTGGAGGGTCATTCAATAAAAGTGATTCATTTGCTTCCCCAGACTTTTCAAAACATGTTGAGATGGTCAGAGCTGTTAGGTGTTGTTTGGACTGATGGTAAGAGGGTTTGGATTTGCAGCTCTAAGTCAGTCTTTATTCCGCTTCTGTTGAAAGACATTAGACCACATGGTGCCTTTTTGATAATATTTTATTAGAATAATATTTTGCTATTATTTGTGTGAATGTAATAAATTAATATGCTATCGATGTAAAATTAAAGCAACAGAGTTCATGTGTTTAGCTTAAGAAAGCCTATCTATAATGAGAAAACAATAGACAAATGAAAATGGATAAAAATATGACGGATGACTAATTTTACATTCCACCATCTTTATTAGATCATATAGTGTCATTACTTGAGAGTCTCCTAATTGTTGGACATTGTGGATTTTTATAACAGAGTATAATCTGGGTAAAAGTAGCAAAAGCCACACAGTACATTAATGAGCACCTTTAAATACAAAAACAGGCGTGAGTGCGCAAGTCTACCATCACCTGCCTGACAGTAGCTGTGAATGCAGCAGAAAAGGCACATTTTGAGCTAAAAGCTCTTCACAAATGTTGAACATAATTTGTTCTTGAGTGTTGGTTGTTACATTGAGTGGATGAAGTTATAAAACATCTAATTTGTAATTGTGTGTCCCTCTTATGACAATGATGAGACCCACACACTGTAAAATGAGTACAACATACGGATGTGGCCCAGCTCTGGCCCAAATACTGTAAAGTGAGCATATTGTGGTCCAGATCCGGCTCATAAATGGCACACAGTTACAGCTGAGTACCCACCTTGGTCCCTGGTCCAGATGTGGTCCTGCAGGATGCCACACTCATTTACTGCAGAACATGCAAAATATTAGTAATATTTATTATTAATAATCAACATGTGTCAAAAGCCGTTTCAGAATGAAAACTTCATGTTTATTTTGGTTAAATAAATAAAAACAGTAAAAGAATGAAAGAAAAAGGCTTCATCTTTGTGAGAGGTCACCGTCTGCCGTCTTTGTGTTTTCATCCTCAAGGACATTCACAGCCGGCCATTCCACAGACCATCTGCCTTGAGTCAAAGCGTACAATGTTTTCCACATTCAGAAATACATTTTTCACAATATTTCTGCACAAGTTTTAAACCATGGCAGATAATTAGAGGCCACTGAAATACAGACTAAATCTGACATCTTCCTTGTGATCACATGGTTTTATAATATCATTTTTCAGACATTTTATTTTTAATCAGAGATGACACAAATGTCTGAAAAGTTATACTTAAGATGTCTGTGGAATAAAAGCAGTTGTTTAAGTCCCTGAAGTGCAGGTTTCAACCCATTCAGTGTGCCTTAATATAATATGTAAATACATGAGATCAAGCTAACTGTGTATGAGACACTGTTTCACAATTTAACCTGATAAACAGCATTTCTGATTCTGTATGAAATAATTAGTACGACTACTACAGGATTTATTTTCACAGTAAACAAATACAAAACTAGATAAACTGCTGTTTTGCTAATGATGTTAAATACATAATTTTATCCTATATTATGTTAAACATGGACCCTTTCTGAGAAGTACATTGGATCCCATTTCAGCAAGAAGTATTCAGCCATCGTTTACTTTAACTTATTTCCAGGTAACACAGCTTTTATGTCAAACTGTACAACAAACCTCTTTACCTGACAATCTGGAATAACACCACAGTCAGCATTTCCATCAGATCCCTCTGCAGATTGAATGTTTCCCAGTCACTTTGGAAGTTGTTCCACTGTAATCAGTCAGAACTCCAATAACAGCTTATCTGTAACAGATTTTACTTTAGAAACTGAATAATGAGGCAAAAACTCCACAACCGCAAAATCTGTAAGTTAAACAACAGGAAAGTTTTGTTCTAACAAACATTAAGAAACCCATAATCAAAATTAGGTTTCTTGCAAGTCAAACTAACGTAGAGCACTCCTGAAAATGAACATTCACATAAAACAGGAAATATCGCCTCAGTTTAACAACTACATCACCTGTAGTCCAGAGCAAACGTCCTTGGCCCAAGCTAACATACTAACAGTGAACTACCTAACATGCTGTACCATTATGGCATAACACTTGAAAAGCACAGGCTGTTCCTTTCAAAGGCTCAAAGTAGTTAGCTAATGTTAGCTTGCAGTAAATGTGCTTTTAAAAGTAGCTTTATAACTTACTTTCTCAAAGCCCTCTTCAATTTGTCTAGCCAGCTAGCTTTAATGTTTGCTACTTGAAGTTGCTGTTCCTTAAACTGCTAACGGTAGGCTAGCTAATTAGCGCCTGTACCCTGGTAGGCTAGAAGTTAAAAAGAGCTAAGACGAGATCTATCAAATAGACTTTATATATAAAAAGGTGGGTTTGCTTTCATAATGTCAGAGAAATCACTGGCATGCTGTACATGTGTCACAGAGACCGCTTCATGTTAGCCAACTGGTGCCAGCAGCTAATGAAAGCTGGCTCCCTTGTTTGAGAATATCTACAGTTAGCAAAGGCTTCTAGTTAACATAGCTAGCCAGCTAGCTACATCTAAGCAAAGCCTACCAAATTCATACTAACTTACATATTAAAATTCTTGCTTTTGAAAACATGAATATTCCAGAAATCACTGGCATGTTGTACAAAGACACAGAGACTGTTTTATGTGCGGCAGCTGCAGCAGCAGTAAACAGGGCTACACCACACATATAGCATTTTATCTCTGTTAAGTCAGAGCTTCCATCCACTTCATATTCTCACTATTTTTTTTGCGACAATGCTAAAAACTAAAATGTGGCTGTTGAAGGTCAGTATTTGAGCGTGACGGTACACTACTATAACATTTTTTGGCACAGAAGTGAGTTTTACCCTGATAACACTTAAACAGGATGTGCAACCCTTTGTGAAAAGGGTCCTTTGTTATTTGCAATCTTATTAGTTCTATAAATGACTATAAGCTGCAGACTAAATACATCATGGGGGTGTTAGGATGTTGTTTGGACGTCACTGACATTATTAATAGGTCACCAACAACCTGACTTTTTAAAATGGATTTTGGACGTCTGTTGACCCTCATAACATGTTCCAGACAGACTGACTATTTTTAAAAAGACTTTGGACGTCCAAGGACGTTCTTTCTTAACTTTGTTGCTAAGTTCTTAAGCTACATTGGCCACAAGTGAATCATGACTTCAGCTACAAACACAAACTACTGAAGTCTAAGTTGATGAAGCCTCACAGTCTCAGAAATTTATTATTTATTATTTGCTGGAAAGGTGGGTGGGAGTATCTTGAGGGAGAACTAGCACAGAACATTTAGATGGTATAGGTGAAGGAGAGCTCAGATGATCCTTCTGAAGGACACTTTCACAGGATGCAGTTTTCGTTGCTCGGACAGAGGAGCGGACACTTCGGATCTGGAGTGGTGGTCGTGCTAGAATGGTGGGAATCAGAGAAAGATGTGCTCATCCACAGAATCTGTTTTTGCACCTCCTCACTGGACTAAAAAGAAAAGAAAAAACATTTCAGTATCTCAGTCTCAGCATCAGAAACTCTGGATCTGCTGTGTTCTCTGTAAAACCTGTTATTGTATTATATCACATGAATGATTCTGATAAAGTGTCCTCACCTCTCATGTTGCTTTAAGGCTTCTGACTGCTTTAATAAACCTGTCCATCCAACCACGGACAGTTTTCCTGAAACTCTTCTTCTCCTTTTCCGGCTCTTTCTGTTTTTCCTCTTTCTTTTTCAGTTGTTGAATTTGTTTTTCCATCTTTTTCAGTCTTTTCTCCATCTGCTTCCGCCTTTTCTGGTGTTCTCTCTCCTCCTCTTTCATCATTTCTCTCGTTTTCTTCCACGCCTGCTCTCTCTCCACAAACTCCATTGTCCTCTTTCTCTGTTTTTCTAAGAACTCTCGCTCGATCCTCTTCTGTTGTTCCCACACTCTCTCTCTTTCTGTCTGTGTCTGCATCTTCCTTTCCTTCTCTATTTCCCTTTCTCTCTTCCTTCTCTCCTTCACTCTTTTCTTTACCCTCTTCAGTCGGTCTGTCAGTCTCCCTATCCCTAGGAGAAGCTCGTCCTCTCTCCTAGAGCTCAGAGTTTCAGTCTGGAATTCAGATGGAAAATGATTACTTTAATCAGGTTGACTGACAACTTCAGTCAGTTCATCATTAGGTGTGCAGTAGCTCAATATCTGACAATGTGGCCTGACCAGTTATGGCATATAGAGGGGAGAAGTACAAATATTTTGAAAATGTGACCCAGGTTTTGGGGGGTAGAAGATGATTTATGGTCAGTGGTCAGGAGGTGTGAATTTCACCTATTACGTTAAAGGTGCAATGTGTAGTGGTGAGGTTGCTGCCCACAGGACGCTGTTGGCTGGATATTTTTGGTTGGTGGACTATTCTCAGTCCAGTGAGGTGTTTACAAACTCCAGCAGCACTACTGTGTCTGATCCACTCAGACCAGCGCAACACACACTAACACACCACCAACACATCAGTGTTACTGCAGTGTTGAGAATGATCCACCACCCAAATAGTACCTGCTCTGTGAGGGTCCATGGGAGACCTGACCACTGAATAACAGGGTAAAAGGGGGCCAACCAAGTATACAGAGAAACAGATGGACTACAGTCTGTAATTGTAGAACTAAAAAGTGCACCTATATAGTAAGTGGAGTTGATAAAATGGACAATGAGCGTAGAAACAAGGAGGTGGTCATAATGTTATGCCTGATCGGTGTTTATGTAACTGTGACTTACCTCACAGCTGTCCATCTCTTTTTCTGTTATCATCTTGTGGGCCTCCATCTTTCTCTGCTCCTCTTCCTCTTCCAAATACTTCATCACTATCTCTTTAGTGACAATTTGGAAGGAACTGGAGGTCCTTAGGCGCCTTTTCTTGCTTCTCTCCTCCACATCCGTATCTGTCTCCGTCTCAGAGAAACTCTAGGGGTGTCAGATGATTAAATAATAAATCACAATTAATCGCTGCAACTGCAACGATTGCAACTTAATACCCCTCACTCACCCCTCCCTTTCCAAGTGTGTAGTAGAGCCCACAGTGGCTGTCATGTTTTCACTTGTTTGACATCAAGAATCCACCCTTCTTTGTTTTTCCTTGTGCTAAGTAATATGTCACAATTTGGGTTTCAAACTTCTCACAACACAGAATGGTTAGCCAGCACCGGCAGCAACCAGTGATTATTCTTCTTTCTATGTCTTCTAACTGGTGCTATAGCGCCAACAAATTCAAGCTGCCACTTGAAAAGACACTCTCTAGAGCCAGTCTTTGGTTTGTCTGTTCTGAAAAAATGGTTCTGTATACTTTACTCCGTTTTGGTTAATATATCTCCCTAAATTTTACACACTGCACCTTTAAAACCTCTTAAAAATATATTATACATAAACAGCATACACCGACAGGCCACGTTATTAAAACCACCTCCTTGTCCATTTTATCAGTTGCACTTGTGCTGGTCTGAGTGGATCACACACAGCAGTGCTGTGAGAGTTTTTAAACACTGTGTCCACTCACTGTCCACTCTATGACACACTCCTACCTTGTCAGTCCACCTTGTAGATGTAAAGTCAGAGACGATAGCTCATCTGCTGCTGCACAGTTTGTGTTAGTCATCCTCTAGTCCTTCATGAGTGGTCACAGGACGCTGCCCACAGGACGCTGTTGGCTGGATATTTTTGGTTGGTGGACTATACTCAGTCCAGCAGTGACACTGAGGTGTTTAAAAACTCCAGCAGCACTGCTGTGTCTGATCCACTTGTACCAGCACAACACACACTAACATACCACCAACACATCAATGTCACTGCAGTGCTGAGAATGATCCACCACCCAAATAATACCTGCTCTGTGGTGGTCCTGTGGGAGTCCTGACCATTGAAGAACAGGGTAAAAGGGGGCAAAAAAAGTATGCAGAGAAACAGATGGACTACAGTCTGTAATTGTAGAACTACAAAGTGCACCTGTAGGATAAGTGGAGCTGATGAATGAAGAATGAGTGTAGAAGGAGGTGGTTTTAATGTAATTTGATATTTTAAAATATTCATATATTTATATGTAACTGTAACTTACCTCATAGCTGTCCATCTCTTCATCTGTTGTCATATTGTGGTCCTCCAGTTTTCTGTGCTCCTCTTCCTCTTCCAAATATTTCATCACTATCTCTTTAGTGACATTTTGGAGGGAACTGGAGGTTCTTATGCACCTTTCCTTATTCATTTCCTCCACATCTGTATCTGTCTCCGTCTCCGAGAAACTCTAGGGGTGTCACATGATTAAATAATGAAGCACAATTATTTGCTTTTGTCTGAAATTTGACCCAGAAGAAAGATTTTAATCATTTGATGAAATAGGCTGATCTCTAAAGTATATATTACATCCAGTAAACCAGTAACATTACTGAAGACTGCAGTTTGAACAGAAGTAGACTTTTTTACAATGATGTGGAATCAGAACGATGCTGTTTTGAAATAGAGCAAGTGAAGGTTAATGAAACAGCACTCGTCTGAATTTTAGTTTTCAGAGTGCTGGGCAGCTGCAGTGTGTGTGTGTGTGTGTGTGTGTGTGTGTGTGTGTGTGTGTGTGTGTGTTTGTGTGTAACTGTTCCTACCTTACAGCTGTCTATCTCTTCCTCTGTTGTTGTATTGTATTCCTCCAGTTTTCTCTGCTCCTCTTCCAAATACTTCATCACTATCTCTCTAGTGACGGTCTTGAATGAACTGCTGGAGGTCCTTAGGCGCCTCTTCTCGCCGCTCCTCGCTTCCACATCCATATCTCTCTCCATATCCATGAAACTGGAAGTTGATAAATCACAATTAATCACTTTTGTCTCAGTTTTTCTCCATTTTTAACCTTTTTAAAGCAGTGCAATTAGTTACAGCTATATGAGTGGATGAAACAGCCTGATTTCTAAAGTATAAATTCCATTCAGTAAATCAATAACAGTAACTCAAGACTGCAGTTTGAACAGAAGTAGACTTCTTTACAATGATGTGGAATCAGAACGATGCTGTTTTTAAATAGAGTAAGTGAAGGGTGAGAGAGACAGAGAGAGATGTGTTAAGAGAGTGAGAGAGAGAGAGAGAGAGAGAGAGAGAGAGACCACCTCCTTCATGATTAATATTATTCTAAAAATAATTCATATCATTCTAATCAAAACTGTATTAAGATTACACTGTTCAGTCAGTTGAATGATGTGAATAAACAGGCTAGCACTGTCTTACCAATGATTATATTCACAGAAAATATCAGTATTTAATGTCCAGTAAACGTATTTTAACTGCGCCGTCAGTTCAAAACCGAATATATTAATTATTGTCAGTCTGTATGACGTCACGTGTCACGTTCGAATCCCGAGGTTCGAAATTTCACATGATTCCGCTGGAGCTGCTCGAATGATTCAGTGTGAGCGTCACTGAGTCTCTCAGCACGATTTAAACACAGATATTATATTATTATACAAATACTATTCATTACACAAATATTATACTATATTAATATTAAAAACAGGATTAAGAAATATGAGCGGCTAACCTTCTGAACAGAAGATTTGTAGCAGTGGTGAAGTAAATCACTACGACGAAAATGAGGGATGTTTACTTTGTATTCCCAATATATAGTTCCCGGCAGCACTGGAGGGGCGTGGCCTAACTGTGACGTCACAATAAAGACCGATTCTGCTGGCTGAATTTCACACACACACACACACACACACACACACACGCACACACAATAATACTACTACTACTTAATAATAATAATAATAATAATAATAATAATAATAATAATGCTTTTAAATATTTTTTTTAACTAATTGAAGTGGAAAAATGTCTCATCAATATTACAGAAAAACTGATCAGGACAGAACTGTCAGTGTTTCTCAGTCACACTACTGGAGTTTCCCCTCCTGCACATTTACACAGTTTAGTGTTTCTCTGCTTCCAACACACTGATTCAGCTCATCAGCTCATTAAAAAGCCCTTCATGAGCTTAAAGTGGTCGTGCTGAAGCCCCCAAATAGAAATCTGATTTCGGTCATATATTAACATATAAAACGAATATGTACATGTGTGTATATATATATATATATATATATATATATATATATATATATATATATATGATCCATGATCCACATTTCATGCATGTATGTGTTTTACCCACCTGTCCAATATTTGACACTTACATATAGCTACACTACATATATGTACATTTTGTATATTTTGAAATATATGCCTGAGCCTTTGCATACATGGCCATTTCCATGTGGCACAACCTGCAGGTCAGAGTGAATCTCTGGTAGAAGTGATTGTCTTGGCCTACACCGCCATCTGCTGGCCTAAAGAGTGAGGGCGTTATTGAAGAACTTGGTTAAGCGCTGTTCATGCAGTGTAGATCATTCTGAAAGCTGTTCTGTTGATACAGTCCTCACTCGATCACACTGATCACATTAGCAACTGACCTCACTGTGTCATCCTCTCTGACTGAGGTGGTTGGGCTTTCTTTGTTCTCAGGAGAGGCTGAGAGACTGTAGGTTCTAACACTGAGACTCAAATACAGGAGAAATATGAAGCTGTTGGAGGGTCATTCAATAAAAGTGATTCATTTGCTTCCCCAGACTTTTCAAATCATGTTCATAGTCAGGCCTGTTACCTGTTGTTTGGGCTGATGGTTTAGGTTTTACGCCGTCTTCTTCATCAGATCATATAATGTCATTTCCTGAGAGTCTCCTAATTATTTGACATTGTGGATATTTATAATAGAGTATAACTCGGGTGCAAGTAGCATAAGCCATAGCTGGTTTATGAGGAGCCTGGCATCCTCCTTTTTCTCTCGTTATATCAAAAACAGGACTGCAGAGGGCGCCCGTGAGTGAGTCTTCAATGAATGGGAGTAACAGGTGCTCAGTGGCAAAAAACAAAAATCTAAAATAGTTTCTAACCACTTGCCCAGAACTTTCTTTTAATTTTAGGAAGTAGAAGGATGTATTTCACTAAAAAGCAAAGAAACGTACCTATATATTTCCCTTTTTTCTACATCAAACGGGGTTTGGGCAGCAGGGCGCTAACATTACTGCTACTCAGTGCTGATTGGTTGGCGAGTGACTCACTGACGTCATGAACGTACACGAGGCGCCGTTTAAACTCGAGTTCAACGGTGTTAAAAAAGGTTTATGCTGTTCTGTGTGTTCAGGAAATGAATGCATTCTTTATACTGAAAATGTTTGAGCATTTTTAAAATATGATTTTACTCAGATGTTCCATATTAACCCATTCATTTTGGACTCGTTTGGGAGCGCCCTCTAGTGTTTCAGAAACCTGGATTACATTACAGAGTGGTAATTCTCCTCTCTACAAGCTCTCTGGCCACACAGTACAGCTTTTAGCCCTTTTGAAGATAAAAAAATGAAAACAGACGTGAGTGTGCATGTCTGAAAGTGCCTCCCTCACAACAGCTGTGCAATGCAACAGAAAAGGTGTAATCTGAGATGAAAGAACTCTTTGAAAATGTTGAACATAATTTGTCTTTAAATTTTGGCTGTTACATTGAGTGGACGAGGTTTTAAACCAACTAATGTGGAATGGTCTGTGCCAGTTATGAAGCTGTACCTTAATGTTGGTTTACAGTGGATAAAATTAGCCAGCTAGTTATACCAGCTGTGGATGTCTTATACTCACCAAGCCAACAAATAACTTAGCCGGCTAGCTAAGCTAACGCGTTTAAATCAGCACTGTGTAAGATATTTTTGCTGTTAAAATTGAAAGGAGTAGCATTACTAAGTCAGGAGGGAAAAAACATGCTAAATATATGGTGTGAGTGCTGCTGTGAGTCACCCTGTAAAACCTGAAATGATCATTTAAAAGTCCAAAAATTTTTAAATAACATAAGTAGAATAATTAGATACTTAAAGGAGCAGCAAGTGATGTTTACAATGCTAGGTATGAAAGTGATTTGTCATTGTCTTTGAGTTTCTTTCAGAATGTAGACTTTCCTGAGCCCAGATAGTGAGCATATATCGGTCTGCTGGCTTGACAAGGTCGGCACCCCGCTGAATGTTTGCTAATGCTGGTCTACCCTCGGACCACCCAGATTACTGTCCTGCATACAAGCTCTAACTGTTTTTAAATCTCCTCAAACAGATTGTAAATCCACAGAGACTTTTATTTTGGAAAATAAACTAAGGGAAACAAACAACTGAGAGAAAAAAAATAATGACTAGGCCTGATATAAAATGTTTTTATAGAACATGTTGTTGCTGATGTAGTGCTAGATCAAAATGATTTACTAAACTAATTTGAAAAGTAGAGCTAAAGATAGAAAGGAAGGAAAAATCTGTAAATTGGACTGTGAGTGGAAAATGAGCAATGATAAATGGAAGTTTGTCTAATACTCTGCTTAACCACTGGTGGACCGCCCAGAAAACACTGAGCAAACCGCCAGCTTTGCCATCAGCGGTCCACTATGCTCTTCCTATCAGAGGGACAAAAACGCATATTACTTCATAGGCTTGTATGAATCATTTTATCATAAGTGGACGTGAACCACACAAGCGTTATGCCATGTTTAGATCATGTGACAACAGATTGGCAAACACACTGAACAAGGAAAAAGAATTGCAAGCTTATTGTTTAAAGCTGCTACTGCTATGCTAGTCACTTCTCCACAGGTTATTAAATGCAGTACTGACAGGCATGTTTGCTGAATATTGAATGAAAAAATTATCATGGAGGATCATCGGGACTACCTGTCTGACAGGGCATCAGCAGCAAGTGACATTAGGCCATGCTTTCTGCTGGAAAGGGAGGGTCAATAACTTTATTTGCTGTCAACCACTGTTGCCAAAAGTTACCCTGTTTATTGTTCCAAAAGTATTAATACGTGTCGAATTATAACAGTATTTTGTAAATTGCTAATTGCTAATTGCTCCTTTAAATACATTTACAAGCAACATAGCTAGGGTACTTCAGCTTTTATTCAAGTAATACTTAACTAGGGGCATTTCTACTTTCATTCAAGTGCCAAAGATTTGTACTTTGTCCACTACTATGAGTGAGGTTGGCGCTGTAGTTAACAGTTAGCACAAGTTTACGCAAGTAGTCTCTTTGTCTAAGCTAAAGCAGAAGTGTCTCAAACATTTGTCCCAACTCTTTTTGTTGGCTAGCTAACATTCAAAGCTCTTTTCCAGCATTTTTCTTCTTTGTGACCAAAGTGACCAGATGGTTTAATGGGCGGTTGAAAAGGAGTCTGTAATGAATTTGTAATGTTGTGCTAGTACAGGATGAGTGAGACATGAAGTAGGCTAACGTTATACCTGTAATGGCTACATTCATTTTCAAAGGCTTAACCTTTGAAATCCTGGATAGTTTGAGAACCTAAGTTTTGACAAATGATTGACAAATCATACTTAGTATTATGCACAAGAAAAGCAAGGAAGGGTGGATCCTTACTGTCAAACAAATGAAAAAGTGATGGCCACTATGGACTCTACTACACTCTTGGAAAGGGAGGGGTGAGGGAGGGGTATTCAGTTGCAATCTGCAACCTCACCACTAGATGCCACTAAATCTTACACATTGCACCTTTAACGTAATAGGTGAAATTCACACCTCCTGACCACTGACCATAAATCATCGTCTACCCCCCAAAACCTGGGTCGCATTTTCAAAATATTTGTACTTCTCCCCTCTATATGCCATAACTGGTCAGGCCACATTGTCAGATATTGAGCTACTGCACACCTAATGATGAACTGATTGAAGTTGTCAGTCAACCTGATTAAAGTAA